CTTGAGAATGCTATTTTTTTTTGGGGGGGGGGGTCTCGATTAATACTGAGGGAATAACAGTCATTTTTGGATAATATCCAAATGTCTAAGTATGTCTTGTTTGTCAGGTCATTCTGAATTGCTGAATTATACAGGTGCATCTCAATAAATTAGAATGTCGTGGAAAAGTTCATTTATTTCAGTAATTCAACTCAAATTGTGAAACTAGTGTATTAAATAAATTCAATGCACACAGACTGAAGTAAGGAAGGGTGGAGAAGCTCATAGCCCAAGTTGCTTGAAGTCCAGTGTTAAGTTTCCACAGTCTGTGATGATTTGGGGTGCAATGTCATCTGCTGGTGTTGGTCCATTGTGTTTTTTGAAAACCAACGTCACTGCACCCGTTTACCAAGACATTTTGGAGCACTTCATGCTTCCTTCTGTTGACCAGCTTTTTGAAGATGCTGATTTCATTTTCCAGCAGGATTTGGCACCTGCCCACACTGCCAAAAGCATCAAAAGTTGGTTAAATGACCATGGTGTTGGTGTGCTTGACTGGCCAGCAAACTCACCAGACCTGAACCCCATAGAGAATCTATGGGGTATTGTCAAGAGGAAAATGAGAAACAAGAGACCAAAAAATGCAGATGAGCTGAAGGCCGCTGTCAAAGAAACCTGGGCTTCCATACCACCTCAGCAGTGCCACAAACTGATCCCCTCCATGCCACGCCGAATTGAGGCCGTAATTAAAGCAAAAGGAGCCCCTACCATGTATTGAGTACATGTACAGTAAATGGACATACTTTCCAGAAGGCCAACAATTCACTAAAAATGTTTTTTTTATTGGTCTTATGGAGTATTCTAATTTGTTGAGATAGTGAGTTGGTGGGTTTTTGTTAAATGTGAGCCAAAATCATCACAATTAAAAGAACCAAAGACTTAAACTACTTCAGTCTGTGTGCATTGAATTTATTTAATACACAAGTTTCACAATTGGAGTTGAATTACTGAAATAAATGAACTTTTCCACGACATTCTAATTTATTGAGATGCACCTGTATTATTAAAGTGTTGTCTTTCTATAAATTAAAATAATCTGCCCCATCTGCCCTTTTTATTCATGCAGTATAGAATAAGATGGACCAATATACACAAATATGAACAGACATAGAATTATCCAGCCAGGGGTGTAAAAAGTACTTACAAATTTTACTCAAGTAAAAGTACAGATACTAAAATTAAAAAAAATAAAAAATAAACAAGTATCTGGCCAAAAACATACTTGAGTAAAAGTTAAAAAAAAAAGTACAACTTTAAATTGTGTTTGAGTATTAAAAATGTACAAGTGTAATAAACAATCCACTGGAAGGTGAGTGTGAGAACCCAAGTGCAGCTTTTATTAAGCAAACGTGATATCCAAAATACAAACAAATAAAGTCTTGACTTGGCTTGACTTGACTTGGCTTGAATTGAACAGACTTGGCATAAACAAAAAAACAAGAACTCACCAACAGAGGTACAGGGACAACACTCGACAAAAAGCAAGGGCAACATGCAGAGTTGGGTATAATGCATTACACAGAAACACATTACTGTAATCTAATTACTTTTCCTGGTAACGCAGTAAAGTAATGCATTACATTTTAAATGTATGTAATTTGATTACAGTTACTTATGTCAATAAAATTACTAAAGTTACTTAAGTTACAAATGCAGTGTTAAAAATTATGAATAAAAAAATCATGTTTTGCAGGTCAGTATGACCTTTAATAAATCACCGGACAATGTGAGCTAAAATGCAGACGAGTCCTACAACATTAAGATGCAATGAAAGGTCGTATTATCATATTTCAAAATGTTGCACTCGACATATTTTAGTCTGGCATTATAGTTTGGGAAACGTTCAACAAGTGAATTTGTACAAGTTTATGTCACAGTAACACTAATAATTAAAAATAAATGACTCATCAGAATGAGATCATCCGCTGCATTAAGCCGCATCGGCATCACAATGCAAGGCTTATTCCTTAAGAAGCGCGTCTTCTTCTAAAAACGAAAAGTAGCCGAGATGAACTTAAATCTTTCTTTGTATACGGAGGTGATGTGGACATTTACATGTTCACGCATCTCAAGCCTGGTTTTCGCATGGATGATGATCTTATAGCACGCGATGTGCGTGGGTGTGATATAGGTGAGCTCAGACGGGAGAGACTGTACCTCGCTTTGGTTTCATATGGATTATTTTATCAGAGAATATTTGTTTTCGAC